GTACTGTCTTTTTTTTCAGCCACCTAGACCTAATTAAGCATAATATCCAAAGTGTGAATTAATTTTCTCAAGTCATTGAAATGCACCTTCAACTGAGAGGTGAAACCTAGATCTGGACATTAATGGGAGAGAGAGAAAGATAGAAGGAGAGATAGATAGATAGATAGATAGATAGATAGATAGATAGATAGATAATAGATAGAGAATGTGCCTCAGTAATCTATTTATACAGCTAAAGTTTCTCCCTGCCTCACCTCACACCTCATATTCTTCTTATGTATGTGTGTGTATGTAAAAGTACATGCAAGAAACATCTAGATTTTAGCCTTTGCTCATCATAAAGATAAACAAAAATTCCCATAAGGACCAAAAAGGGCAAAGCAAATTCACATTTATATATACAAAAGGTGTGGAAAGAGCACCCATGCTTAGTGTGAGCAAGAAGCTTATGGTGGCATTGCCACACTGAAAATCTACCAATGCAATGAAAAGACGAGAACTAGAGAATCAAGCAATAAGCTTCCCAAAAGTTGGGTGAAGAAACCTGTTGGAAAGAAATGCTCACGGAATAGCATGAAGGGCACTTTCAGCAATAGAAAAGTGAGAACAAGATACAATAACAGGGAAAGCCCCAAGCTGAGATGCTAACATAACAAAATGGGATAAAAGGGTACATCACAGATTTCAAAAAACGAATTGAGAGTCCAAGCACTGTTGTAAATTAAATGAATTAAATAGAAATCACAAGAATAAAATAGGCCCCACTACAAGCAAAATAATGGTACAGAAAAGCAGTTTGGAATAAGCACATGAATGAAGAGGTAAATATACAAGGTGAAAAAGTTAAAAAGAAGATTACAAGCATGCTTTTTCTTATTTTGCCACCAGGTGAAGAGAGCTTATTTCAGTGTTAGACCAACAGAGAATAAATGGAGCCCAGGAGATAACAAAGACAGATTGCAGACAGTGTCACTTGATCACCTGGCTCCTCTGTACCTGAGGCTGGAAATCCTTTTTGTCTTCCTGGTTACCTGAACACTAAACCCTCCACGACTTTGCATAAGGCACTTTTTGTTATGTTTCCTTGCACCTGAAAACAGCCTTCTTAATAAAATGCTTCGAGCCGAGTGATCTAAAGTAACATGGGAAGCTTTCAGAGTCTTATGTCCTCACCTGCAACACAGAGATAACAATAGCATCTACCCTGAAAGGTGGTGGTAGGCACACTAACAGCATCCAACACAGCATCTGGTATGTGGTGAGTGATATACATGGAGACTATTATTTTTGAGTTCTGAGTGAATTCCACCTAACTTGGAGAGAGAAACTGTTTCCATTTTGTCTTGAAAGATTTTATTGTCTAACTCTTATATGGTCCTTAATATATGGAAGGTATTTTGTTAACCATTTTTTACATAGTACATTAATTTAAGCCTTACAAACCCTATGGTCTAGATATGCCATTATTCCTATTCATTCCCATGTTATAGAGGTGCAGGAGGTTAGGCAATCTTCTCAAGGTCACATGGCTTGTTAATGATGGAAGGGGAGCTCAGGGACCTGGTTAGTGATGGAAGAGGGTCTGGGAGCTGGTTAGTGATGAAGGAGGAGCTCTGGATACTGGTTAGTGATTGAGGGGAGCTCTGGGAGCTGGTTAGTGATGGAGGGGGAGCTCTGGGAGCTGGTTAGTGATGGAGGGGGAGCTCTGGGAGCTGGTTAGTGATGGAGGGGGAGCTCTGGGAGCTGGTTAGTGATGGAGGGGGAGCTCTGGATACTGGTTAGTGATGGAGGGGGAGCTCTGGAGCTGGTTAGTGATGGAGGGGGAGCTCTGGGAGCTGGTTAGTGATGGAGGGGGAGCTCTGGGAGCTGGTTAGTGATGGAGGGGGAGCTCTGGGAGCTGGTTAGTGATGGAGGGGGAGCTCTGGATACTGGTTAGTGATGGAGGGGGAGCTCTGGGAGCTGGTTAGTGATGGAGGGGGAGCTCTGGGAGCTGGTTAGTGATGGAGGGGGAGCTCTGGGAGCTGGTTAGTGATGGAGGGGGAGCTCTGGATACTGGTTAGTGATGGAGGGGGAGCTCTGGGAGCTGGTTAGTGATGGAGGGGGAGCTCTGGGAGCTGGTTAGTGATGGAGGGGGAGCTCTGGATACTGGTTAGTGATGGAGGGGGAGCTCTGGGAGCTGGTTAGTGATGGAGGGGGAGCTCTGGGAGCTGGTTAGTGATGGAGGGGGAGCTCTGGGAGCTGGTTAGTGATGGAGGGGGAGCTCTGGGAGCTGGTTAGTGATGGAGGGGGAGCTCTGGATACTGGTTAGTGATGGAGGGGGAGCTCTGGGAGCTGGTTAGTGATGGAGGGGGAGCTCTGGGAGCTGGTTAGTGATGGAGGAGAAGCTCTTGGAGCTGAGCTCTTTGCCAGAACTTACTGTTGTCACAGAGATACAGCTGGAGGAGTTGGTTGCAGTGGAAAGAATCACAAAATATTTCTGAGCCAAGAAATATTATAGGAGTGAGGTATGAATTCCACACAACATAATTCAAAAATGTGCAAGTGATGGGCTGCTGTAGCAGCATCTGTGAAGCATGTCTGTGAGTGAATGTCTGCTGTCCACCTTCCCAAAGGGAAGAAAGTGAGCTCAGCACCTTGGAGAGCTCTTTAGACAGGAGCCAACTTCATCTGATGACTTCCAAGCAATCTTGCCTCTAGCAGTTAAAATAATACTTTGACAAAGATAATTAAAATGCACATACAGAAAATATGCCTATACTGAGGAAATTTCTGAAGTTCATGAAATGTGACTGTTCTCTTTTTGATATATAGTCAATCATCTTAGCAATATAACACGTTACCATTGTGCATCTCAAATGAAGAAGGAACAATAAAACGCAGAGGAAGGGCTGTTAATGGTTTGAATAAAGGCAGCTGCCTCCCTGAGCTGCGGGGGTGATGAAGGTGCTGACACATGACAGAAGCAAGGTGGGGGGTGGAAGGCTGAGGGCAGAAACAAGAGCGAGGAGGGGATAGATTCTGAGGAACAGGAAGCGAAGGAACATCTTTCATTAATTAAGAGCCTACTATATACAGCAATGTTGGGAAACTTAAATGTATTTTTTAAATCTTAAAATAATCATGATGACACAATTACTGATCCTTACATTACAGATGTAGGAATAGGATAAGGGTGGCGAAAAGGAATGTGTAAAGCAAGTCGGTGGAGAGAGAAATGGAAGAGAAAAGGAAGCAAAAGATCAACATACATGCCCAGCTGATGTGGCTCAGGGGTTGACATCATTGTCCTATGGACCAAGAGGTCACTGGCTCAATTCCTGGTCATGGCTCTTGTCTGGGTTGTAGGCTCAATCCCCAGGAGGGGGAGTTCAGGTGGCAGCTGATTGATGTTTCTATCTCTCCCTCTCCTTTCTCTCTCTGAAATCAATTTAAAAAATTAACATATAAAAATGAGGAAGTGAAAAAAAAAGGTACAAAAATACCTAAGAGAATAAGAGGAAAACCAACACAAATCCAAACCTCAGTGGCCCTAAAAATTGGACAAGTTGAGCTCTTTTTTCCCCAGGAAAGGTTCCATGGGAAGAGATTGTTTCAAGTCTTGTCTGTGCAGAGAACACAGAAAAAGGAAGAGATGCCATGCCAGTTAAAAAGGGGCAGAGATTTGCAAATATTGGCAGGAAAAAGATACCAATGGATGTGCAACACTGGCCTGAGGCTTTCTGATGGGGATCTTCAGTGACCTTCTATCTTCACAGATGCTATCCAGGCCAATTATTTTATCTAACTCTCATAATGAACAACCTTAGGAGCTAGGTACTATTGTCAACACCATTACAGAGGTAGTAAGCAGCTGAGATAGATTCAAATCCGCTGTGTTAACTATAAACCTGAGATTGTAAACACTGCCCTTCTTAGTTAAAGGAGTAGAAAGAAAGCATAATTACTTGCTCATCCTTTGAGAACATCTAGGCAACAAAGCTCAGCAGGCCTCCTTCTTCTTGTTCAGACCAATTCACAGGGCTGGGCGAGGGCAGGACTTGCTGAAATGTTTTTGCTGGAATTTACAAAGATACTGGTTGCAACCCTCCTATAGATACATTTTGTTTAGACTACATAGTATTTATTTTTAAATTGAATTTGTTAAAATATTGGGAGATTTCACACAAAATCCCAGGTAAGCCCCCATTCACTTGGTAGACTTGGAAGCTACAGGAGACCCTCAGAAGCGAATCCTTCTCTTTTACAACAGCACCAGTCAAAGCCCAGAAGCTCCTGTCTGTTGTCTCTTAATCAACTAGTGCTTTCTTGTGGGTTAAATGCCTCAACTCACCTGGCCTCAGTCATACGTCCACCATCTTTGTAGCTGGGGTTGTGGTAATTCCCACCAAAACCACAGGATGGGTGAGTGTGGGACAAGTGCCTTCACAAAATAAAGGCAGGACACTTCGCAAGAAGAGGAGATAAAATTTATAATAACAGATTTCTATGTCAATTATAGTAAACTACCTCTGCCATTAAAACATTTGTAAGTGAATGAGTGAAAGCAGGGCACTAATCAAGAGCCACCCCAGGTCTGACCTTGGGGGCCATTAGAAGTCACTATTCATCTGTTGCTGGGTATCCACTGTGCGAAACGCTATGCAGGCACCCAGTTCACTCAGCATTTTCAAGGGCCAGTCAGGAGGCTCTCTGCAGGGCTAAGAGGACGCTGGGGCTATTAGGAGGCAGCTATTGGCTGATAATGTTCAGCAGCAGGCTAGCTCATTGACTCGCAGACTGTGAAACCCTGAAAGGTAAAGTGGGTGCAGGTTTGGGCAAAGCTTCCTCTGCAGCTCTTGCAGCCTGCCCATCTGGAAGGAAGGGCACATGGTGGTGATTCAAGGAAAGAAAGTGAAAGATACCTTCTTTACCAGGATCCTTTATTTTCTAAACTGTTCTTTGACAGAAAACAAATAATCTTCTCTGTCAAAGAACAGTTTAGACAGCCACATATTAGCCACATGGCTTGCAGCTCCCCTGGAGGCTGCCATCTTGAAACAGCAAAGGCCAACCCCTCCCTTTGAATTAGCCAATCATGAAAGACAGTATGCCTGAGCTGCAATCAAGAGCAAAGGACAGGTCACATGTGTAAGGAATTATAAACCCAAGCAGCCTGCCTGCTTGGTGTGCACGTGCTTCCAGACCAGGTGTGTGCACCCTTCTACTTAGAAGTAAATATGTTTGTCTTGTTGCCTGGCTCCCAAGTGTTTTGTATTCTATCAGAACCCCTGAGTTGGGGGGCTTGCCTTATTTCTAACAGTACCATGATAGAAAATTTTCTATCTATATTTCATTCAACTTTTACAACAACCCTGTGAAGTTAGAGGAATTTTAATACTAATTAAAGATGGGAAAACTGAGTCTAGAAGTTTCTAAGCACCTTGCTCAGGGTCACGTACCAAGGTACTTATTGGATTCACATATGAACATAGATATTGATCCCCTACTTTCATTATAGGCATTAAGTGCCCCTCTTCTAAAACTCTCCCATTACAGCATTTGTCATAGTGTTGTATGTGCTCATTTACTCACGTCGAACAAACAATGCATTAGACTGCAAGCCTCTTGTAAGTTCCAGTCTTACCTGTCATATCTGCTAGATTACCACTTTATCACCTGGCAAGGTGTTTGGCAAAATGGATAATTTGAATGAATGTATGAATGACTAAACTTGTGCTTATAAAATTCATATTCATTTTATTCCACAACCATTTTGTGTGTTTGCTTAAAATGCTCATTTGCTCCCTCAACCACTGAAATACTCTGTTCATAGTCCTTGTGAAGTGTGATAGCAATCATCTCAGGTAGAAACTACTGTTTGGGTTCTGTACTTATTTGTTTGCTAAAATAATAGAAAGTTATTTTGATTTTCTGAACTTATGTATGCTATCTAAATATTCCATTGATGATGGTTTGAATGCTCCATTGATTGTGATCTATCTTGTCATCGAAGCACATTCTTCTGGGAACCAGAACAGCTCAATTGTCCTAAATTGTCTCAGTAGCTTCAGATAATGCATTCCGGTTGACTCAGTGGTCCCGGAATCTGGACAGCACAATTATTCTAAATTGCCTTGGTGGTCCCAGATAATGTGTTTCTGTTGATTCAGTGATTCGTAGATACTTTAGGTAACTAGTGTGCTTAATTTTCACTTCTGTAAAAAGCTTTTCGCGAAACAGGTTCCTCATTCCAGACCCAAAGATGTAATCGATACTTTTGTGATATTCTGCCAATATAAGCCAGATGTGGCAAGCAGTTCGGGGCTGTGAGGTTTGGAGTGCTGAATGGCTCCCTTGTATGCTGCTGGCTTTTAATAAATGATTCCATAATTTGACTTCTTAAAGCAAGAAGGGGAGCGCTACAACACTTGCATAATATGCAAAGCTATATGCAAAATAATGTTTTATAAAAATAATTTTACAAAATTAAGTAATACTCAAATAAGTTTTTGCACCTTGTTTTTTTCCAATGAACAATACATAATAAACATACCTCTAGAGCACGTGTCAAACACAAGGCCCGCGGGCCAAATCCGTCCCGCCAGGCCTTGCAATGTGGCCCGCACCGCGCTGTCATCACTGCACTCCGCTGCGTTTCCATCACAATGACAGTTTATGACTGTTCAGTAAACCATTCGGCCCGCGATTTAGGCTGGATTTTAGATTTTGGCCCCTTCTCTGATTGAGTTCGACACCCCTACTCTAGAGTTATATGCATAAATCTTTTTTTTTTTTTTTTTTTTTTTTTTTTTTTTACAACTGCATTATATTTCATGGAATATAACTGAGCTTTGTTCAACTCTTCCTTTGTTGGTCAATATCCAGAATTTACTGGCTTTTGTTCCTTGTCGTTTTAAACATGCTTCAGTAATATCTCTGAATACATATTTTATTTACTCATACATTTGTATTTGTGGAATAGACTTCCTGAAGTGGAACTTCTAGGTTGGGCACTATTGTGTATGAGATTTTTAAAATGGTATAATAGATATTGCCAGACGGCTTCCCAAAGAGGGTGCAGCATTTCTTATTTATGCCGAAACACATGAGAGCATTCCTCCCCTTCACATCTTTGCCAAATTTGTATATTAATGCTTTCATTTCTTTGTCACCCATTGAAGGAGAGGTGATGTTTTAATTTGATTTTATCCAGTACTAATAAGAACTTGTCAAATGTTTATTGGGCATGATTTCTGCTTTTGTAAATTGCCAAATTGCAGAAGAGTCTTCCAGAAGATCATCAAACCCTATTTTCTCTTCTTGAGCACAGGACTGGACTACCTTTCCCAGACTCCTTTGCACTTGGCATGATTATGTGACTGAGTCCAGACCAATGAAATAGGATTGGAAGTAATGGAATTCTCTTCCCCAGTCCTGTTTCAACAAATCCTCCCAAGTGCCATTCTTATACAGAGACTCTGAGGCCCTAGAAAAAGGGAGTTATGAGACCTGTAAATGAGCACATGAATGGCACCTGCTGTACAGGGAGACCTATTTTAGTCTTCGCAGAACAAATACAGACATTCATATTATGTTAAATGGTGGTGATTCAGGGTTCAGAGAGCACCTGCCACTGCCTATACTAATATTCTGTTGATATCATTTGTCTACGAGTTTGTATTTTTGTTTTGTTTTTGCATTTTTGAGATGCTTCTTTTTTCTTAACATTTCTGCATCACCAGCATATGTGTTAATCTTCTGTTTGCAATGTCTCAAATTTATATTTTCTTCAATCTACCCTTTGTCCTTTGATTTTATAATATCTTCTTCCTTTAGTTATTTTTTAAATAGTGGTGTTTGAATGTTCTGTGTTATTTAAGAAATTTTTCTTTGACTTGATTTTTACAAATATTTTCCTTAAACGTATATTCATATTTTATTATGAATTATTTTCATCAAGTCAGAGCTTGTGTCTATATGTTCTGTATAGTAGGGATTAAGCATTGCATATTCCTGGATAGATGGCTTGTTATGCCAGAGCCTTTTAGTAAGTAAACCTTTATTTTCTCACTTGAGTTCAACTATCATCTATGTAAAACACTAAATGTATTTATATACCAGAATCTAGTCTGTATTTTCTATTGCTTTCTACTGTAGTGTCTATTATTATGGCAATACTGTTTTGATTAGAACATCTTTGGAGTATGTTTTTAAATAAATGGTAGAATAATTCTCTCTCTGCCATTCTTCATTTTCAAAAACCCCAAATTCATTTTTAATGAATAATTAAAGCCAAAAATTAAAATAAAAACCATGGGATTCTGATAGGAATTTTGGTAAATATAGTAACTTGGAAAGGGTGGATTTTTATGATCCATAGTCATCCATTCAGGAGCGTGCTTTGACTCTCCATTAATTCAGATCATGTTTTATGCTCTTCAATAAAATTTTATAGTTTTATTCAGATAAGTACCGTGCTTGCTAAATTTATTCATAGATATTTTATAGTTTTTATGACTATTGTGAATGGGTCTCCCCTCCTCCCACTTTCATTTCTAACTGTATATTTTTAATGTTGAGTGATCTTTGATTTGCTGCTTCTATAATTCACACCACATTAAGAAGCTCGGCCTACAATGAGTGCCATAGAGAATGTGGAGGATGCATGCTTCCAAGTTTTTTGTGTGTGTTCCCTCCCCCTCCCCCTCAACAAACTATGTATTCCAGCTGGTATTCTAGAATCCAGGTTGACAAATTGGTATACCATAAGGTAATGGATGAATAACAGGGTGTGAGCAGAGGTTGAGCTAAACCGACTTATCTGTGGCAGCTGAACTTGTCTATTTTTAAATGCATGGTGATTATCCTGGGTAGGAGTTAACATACAGCAGCACGCAAGGGAGTGATCAGAGGATGTTCTACATGATGAGCTCAGGATAAGCTGGGCCTTCATGATGAAGACATAAGGGGGCTGAGTCTAATGCAAGTAATAAGAAAAACTCAAATGCTCAACAGAATAATTGAGCAGAACAAGAACTGGAGAGCACAGGAAACCCAGACAAATAGGACCAAAGTGTGGTTGTGAAGGGGAGGAATAAAACTTCAGTTGTATATTTTTTAATTTATTTATTATGAAAGTATTACAGATGTTCCCTTTTCTTTCCCCCATTGACTCCCTCCACCACAACCCCCAGGCCTTCACCACTCTATTGTTTGTGTCCATGGGTTATGCATATATGCATAATTTCCCAATTAATCTCTCTCACCCACCCTACTCACCCCTGCCTTCTCTCAGAGCTTCTTCCATCTTTTCCATGCTTCTATGTCTCTGGATCTATTTTGTTCATCAGTTTATTGGGTCAATTAAGTTCCACATATGAGTGCAATCATGTGATACTTGTCTTTCTCTGACTAGCTTATTTTGCTTAGCATAATGCTCTCCAGATCTTTCCATGCTATCTCAGAGAGTAAGAGTTTCTTCTTTTTTACTGTTGCACAGTATTCCATGGTATAAATGTGCCACACTTATCTTAGCTTTTTAACCCACTTAACTACTTGTGGGCAGTTGGGCTTTTTCCTATTCTCAGCTATTGCAAATATGCTGCTACGAACATATTGCTGCATATATTTTTTATGATTGGTGTTTTGTTTTGTTTTGTTTTGTTTTGTTTTTTGTTGTTGTTTTTTTTGTTGTTTTTTTTTTTAGGATATATTCCTAGAAATGAGATCACTGGGTCAAGTGGCAGTTCCATTTTTAATATTTTGAGGAAACTCCACACTGTTCTCCACAGTGGCTACAATAATCTGCATTCCCAGCAGTGCACTAGGATTCCCTTTTCTCCACTTCTCCACATCCTCACCAGCACTTGTCATTTGTTGATTTGTTGATGATAGCCATTCTGACAGGTGTGAGGTAATACCTCATTGTCATTTTAATTTGCATCTCTCTGCTGATCAGTGACTTTGAGCCTTTATACTAGTACTTAATAATTAGAAAATTAGAAAAAATACATATAAGTAATTTTGCTAAAGAACATATAGTACCTGTACACTAAGATTTTTAATTGACAAGATAAATTTACAAAGACCTAAAAAGTGGATTAGAAGACTCAATATTTTTAAGATGCCTATTTTCCTTAAAACCTGTTTAAAATCCCAGGAAGCTATTTTCTTGTAGTAATTAATGAGCTCAACCTCAAATTTCATTGGAAATTCAGAGGCTTTAGAATAGTCAAAACAATCTGAGGAAACATATACTATTAAGTTAAATAATATAGTAGAATTATTTTGTTATTTCTCCTCACATGATTACTGTATTGTTGTTGAGGTCTGAGTTAGAGAACATAAACTCTCTAGACTTATTACAGAGCTAAAGGGATCAAGACAGTGTGGCATTGGTGTAAAACAATGAGACAGAATAATGAGCCCAGAAATAAATAGACCCACATGTGTTTGGTCAACTGAATTTCACAAAGGCGCTGAGGCGATGCACTGGAGAAAGATTAATCTTTTCAATAATAATTGATTCTCCATTTGCTAAAAGTAAGAAAGAATCCCAGCACTTGCCTCACACACAAAATTTAACTTGAGTGGATTATGGATCTAAATGTAAGCGCTGAAATATAAACTTATAGAAGAAAACACCAGAGAAAATCTCAATGATACTTGAGGCTGTCTAATATTTCTTAAATAAAATACACAAAAACTATAATAATAAAAGGGTAATATGCTAATTAGAATAGATGTCCTTCTGAATGTCCTTCTGGACAAGGCCTGGGCTGTGAGGGAAGCCCAGATCCCAGGTGCCAGAGGGAAGCCTGTGCTGGCAGCCTTGGGGGAAAGAAGGCCTACTTGTGCACAAATTTTGTGCATTGGGCCTCTAGTAGAAATTATAAAAGAAACAATATCAATAAATTAGATTTCATTAAAATTAAAAAGTTTTCTTCTTCAAAAGACTTAAAAAAATCAAAAGGCAAATCACAAACCTGGAGGATTATATTTTGAAAACATATATGTAAACAAAAATTTACATCTAGAACATATAAAGAACTCAGTATTCAAAATTAAAATGTAGTCAGACTGAAGGGGTGTGAGGGAACTTTCTGAGCTGTGGGAATGTCTTCTGTGTGTTTGGGGGGTGGTTACATGGGTGACATCACGGTAACATGTGAGATCTGTGCATATATTGCATGTAAATCAGACTGCAATGAAACACAGTGAACAGGTGGGGAGGAATGACAAAGTAATTACCATGCATTAGTTAATTCTTACCGGGGTTATCTCAGTGAATCCTTACCTCAGCTCTGAAAGGTAGGTACTCACTTCATTTTCTAGCTGAGGAAATGGAGACTCAGAGGGCAGGGGACATGCTCAAGGTCACACTCTATTAAGTGGCCGAGCTGGGATCCAAAACCTGAATCTGGAGTCAGACCTTTGCCACCTCTTCATCTCAATGAAGCAGGAATTTGGGGGCGACATAGGCAGGCTTAGGGATCTTTTTAGAGTTGGGGTCCATGGAAAAGCTTGGTGCTGCAGACTGGGAGAAGGTGCATTTCCATAACACAAGGAAGCCAGTTGCAGTTACATTTCCATAAGTCAAGGAGTCAGCAACAGGTGTATTTCCATAAGACAAGGGAAGTAGAAGTGGCCAAGAAAGGTCACATTTACAGAATAAAGAGAAAGAAGCCCAAAGGGAATAGGAAATCAATAAGGAAGTAGGGGGCAACCTTGGAGCCCAGAAGTTACTATAGTAACCAGTCTAAGGGAACAGTGACCAATCAGAGGGATATCAGGCACCAGGATCTGCAGCCTCCATAAGCCATAGGGAAAGGGAACCTAGTGGAATCTTTCTCCCTCCCTACATGGGAGTCAGTTCTGTGGGACTCTTACCCCTTTCCATGTGGGAGTCTGTACTTGTTCTTCAATAAATCTCCACCTTTGCGTACCACCTTCTATCTGTGGATTCATCTTTCGATTCCCATGGACAAAGAATCCTAGTTCCAGTCCAAAAATTCAGTATCACCATTTAGTACATTATCTTGAGTCAGATATGAACTGGGACACATCCAGGTGACAGAGGCCATCGTGAAGGATGGCAAGACCCCCGAGCAGCACAGAGAGGGACGAGGAATGGAAACTTAACTGGGCACTTGTGCTGTGGCCTCTTATCCGGGGAGCCAGATAAGGTTGGAACCCTTGATGAAGGCAAGGCCCAATTCTCCAGGCCCGCTGAGCAGCTGGGATTCCTTTCCTGTCCTATGGCGTCTCTTGGAGGTCTTCTTCATCTCCCGGGACCTGGGCTTTTCCAAGTGAGTTGGAGGGAGACATGTCTGGAACATCAGCCCCCTGAGTGCAGGGATCTTCACCATCTTATTCACTGGTTTTGCCCCAGGGTCTAGCATAGTGCCTAGTTACTTGATGATTAACTAAATCCACCCGACCTCCATCCTTAATTTCAGCAACCTTATGCCCTCTTGTCCCAGTTATGCCCCAATTAATTGATTATCTGTCTAGAGTCCAGACTTAGTGGGACAAACGCAGGTGACCAGGAGTCAGCAATAACGGCCTATCCCCTGGTGCTTCAATGTCTAGACAGCTGACCCGAACTGGAACACATGACACACAGACAGAAAGAGTATGCAATCACAAAGGGTTTATTTACCTATTTCTAGTGGGTCCTAGGCTCCAGCAAGGGCCACCCGGCCATGCACACCGAAGAGCGGACGACGAAGACAGAGACAGGCAGGCTCACACAGCAGAGCAGTCATGAGCTTGTCTCTCAGAGCGATGTGAAGTCCTCCTCTTATGGGGCAGGAGACATCAACTGAAGATGGTCCCAGGCTTATATAGACCAAAGTAAACAACTTGTGTCCTTATCAGTGTGCGTCGGATGGTATGCCTTATGCTGGGAGCAGGGCGTTTATACTCTAAGGGCTCAGGGCTTTCACATCAAGATAGTGGGGTGTTCATCAATTTTGGAAGGTACAGAGTATTGGGGTTTCCACACAGCAAACATTGCACACAGTAATCATTTCATACATCAGAGGGGTTTCCTTATGACCATAATGTTATTATAGCACCTCTGACCACTGCCTGCCTTGCTAAACCGCATCGTAAGGTGAGGCCGTAAGAACTGCTCATGGCCCTGTGAGGCCTGCAGACCTCTCTCAGGCCCAGGCGTGCGCTGGTCCGGCGGCCTTTCTCCCGGAGACGGAGGAGGCGCCAGCACGGCCCCGGCACCGGCTGGTGCTACAGGACCCCCCTCCTCACTTGGCCCTGTGCCTGCTCCCGGGGACGCACAGGGCAGCCGTTGATGGGATTAAGATTTGATTTGACACCCCATTGGGGCACCACTCCGAAACTCAATTGTGCCAAGCAGTGGAGGAGCACTTATTGGTTTCAGAGGGGATGGAAACCAATTTAAGCAACCTCTGTTCTCTTCAGCCCAGACACACACCATTGCTCCGCGGGCTTAGGAACAGCTGCTGCCACTGAGCAGAGACGGGAGCTCGCTGCGAAGCCCTCCCTGTCTGTCTGCAGCACAGCCAGGAGAAACTGCATGCCAACTCACTCAGACCCTGAGTGCCAGCTCACTCAGACCCTACCTGCATCGTTCTTCCCACCCAAGTGGGCCTGCTTTCCTCCCTAAGGCAAGGTGGGACTGGGAGTGCCAGCAGCCCTTGGGCAGGGGGTGTGAAAGCAGGGAGAGTGTCAGAGGCTCCCTCTGAGGGTAGAGCTTAAGCTGCAGGGAAAGGGTAGACTGAGACAGAGATGCTGTGGCTCAGGAACTTTACTGGAACCAAAGTGTGTGGCAGCCTGATTGTCGCAGGAAGAGGCACAGACAGGATTTAGTTTCCAAAGTCCAAGGACACAAGATGACAAACACCAACAAACAGAGACATTTACTGCGTGCCGGATGGCATCCAGGCTGCCACAGTCAATGTTAGGTGTCCTCACGGCTGGGCGCAGGGCGCCAGGCAGCTGGGGAAACTGTGTCTGGGTGCGTCTGCCAAGGCATCTCTGGAGGAGCCCAGCATTTGAATCAGGAGAGAGGGGGAAACACTGCACCAGGGTGGGTGGGCGCCATCCACTCCACTGAGGGCCCAAAGGAGCAAGAAGGTGAAGGGAGAACAGATTGTTTCTCTTCCCGCGCTGGGACTCCGTCCTCCGCTGCTCTCAGGCCGACGTGGCTGAGTCACCCCACCAGCTTTGGGGGCCTTTCACTGGCAGATGGCATATGGGTCTCCTCAGCCTCCATTGTCACAGATCCTACAGCCAACCTCCTAATCTCCTTGTCTCCTTTTGGTTTGGTTTCTGGACAGTCCAGACTAAACACTGGGAGATCTGAACTTCAAGATTTCTGAGTAACAGAGATTTTCAGAAGTGTGGCTTCTGGGCTGTAGAAATTGAGATGGCGACAGAACTGAAATCCTGAGTCCACCTAAGCTGAGAGGTAGTGTTGGCAGGACATGGATGGAAGGAAATATCAGCCTGGGTTTAGGGCGGGGTTCCAGGTTGCTGGTTGTGAAACTGGTCCAGACCCTGTCTTCAGGTCGCTCATAGTATGTGGGCTGGACTGCAGACTTGGTGACAACTGTGACTTGTGGGCTGTGCAGTCATCGGAAAGCGTAGGGTGGGGCCAGTGGAGGTCAGGTACTTTTATTTATTTTTACTTTAGAGAGAGAGGAAGGGAGGGAGAGAGAAAAAAAAAGAAAAAAAAAAAAGAGAAAGAGAGAGAGAGAGAGACATAGATATGAGAGAGAAAGATCAATCAGTTGCCTCCGATATACACCCCAACTGGGAATTGAGCTCTCAACCTCAGTATGTGCCCTGACCAGAAATCGAACCTGAAACCTTTTTGTTGTGTGGACAACACTCCAACCAACTGGGGAGGTATATATTTTTGAAGATGTGAGCAGGAACTATTACAGCGAAGTATGGCATATGCGTGTGTATGCCTGCACACATGTGTGTGGTGCTTACATGCATTCCAGGAAAAGGCGGCAGTTGGAACGAGGGCATGGAAACAGTGCATGTTAAACAAGTGAGAACCCGCTGGTCCCTCGGTGGCTGTGAGGAGCGTCTGAGAGGAGAGCTGCTCCTGAGAGCTCTGGGACACCAGTGTGTTTGTTTCTGGCCAGTGAGCATGCGCCCTCGCTTCTTCAGTGAAAGTCCTTGGTTATATTTGAGGAATTACTCTCTATTCCCCCACCCCCACTAAGCAGCCACATGTGGCCATGGAGGGCACCTGCTCAAGGCTGGTTAAAACCACTCCCTGATTCTGTTCACCAGCCTGTATTGCAAAGAAGGAACATTTCCCCCCAACTTAAACTAAGGTGCCACATGGGCTGGCAGCCACCTGGTTGTGATTAAGTGCCCAGCTCTCCTTTAGCCAAGAATTAGGTATGTAACCAAGTCTCTGCCAACAAGGATCTTTCTCCGTGGTGTTTCTAATAAGGATGGCAAATGGTAGGAGGTGATCATGAAGAGATGGAAGCTACCCCATCAGTGCCTGCTGCAAGGACCTCCCCAAGCTCCCTGGTCCCAGCCCTTTTTAGAGATTCCTCCAGCCTCCATCTACATAGAGCTTTGGAGAAGACCATCACAGTCTAGGGAATCACGTGGCCAGGAAGGAGGGAAGGTGCTGATTTTGGTAGGATGGCCAGGGCAGCCTTTTGGTAGGTGACTTAAGGGGCAATGCAGATCTGACAAAGGTGCTCCAGGTGGGGATGGGGTGGGGTGAGGGTGGGGGTGGGGGTAGCAGGAGTGGAGGCTGAGGTGGGAGCACCCAGGGAAGGCTGGAAGAAGAGCAGAGGTAAGAGTAGTGAGACGGAGCATGGCGAATGAGGAGACCACAGCCAACATGGGTGCAGCAGGGCTGAGAACAGGGGCTCTCATGTCAGCCTGTCCCCTCCAATGTGTGCTGTTGGTCAAGCTACTTGACCTCTAGTCCTCAGTATTCCCATCAGTTAAATGGGGCCAATAATAAACCCACCCACGGGTTGCTGAGACATGTTAATATATGTCAAGGGTTAGAAAAGTGCCTGGCACATGCCTGGCTGGGTGGCGCAGTTGGTTGGAGGGCCGTCCCATACACCAAATGGTTGTGAGTTAGATTCCCAGTCAGGCCACATACCTGGGTTGCAGGTTCAATCCACAGTCAGAGTGTGTTTGGGAGGCAACCAATCCATATTTCTCCCTCACATCTCTCCCTCCCCTCCCTCTCCCTTCCTAAAAACGTATCCTGTCGAAACCGGTTTGGCTCAGTGGATAGAGCATCGATCTATGGACTGAAAGGTCCCAGGTTCGATTCTGGTCAGGGGCATGTACGTTGGTTGCGGGCACATCCCGGGTAGGGGGTGTGCAAGAGGAAGCTGGTCGGTATTTCTTTCTCATTGACATTTCTAGCTCTCTATCTCTCTCCCTTCCTCTCTGTAAAATATCAATAAAAATATATATTTAAAAAAATATCCTCAGGTGAGGATTAAAAAACAAAGAAGTTCTGCTCTAACTGGTTTAGTTCAGTGGATAGAGCGTCGGCCTTTGGACTGAAGGGTCCCAGGTTCGATTCTGATCAAGGGCATGTACCTTGGTTGCGGGCACATCCCCAGTAGGGGGTGTGCAGGAGGCAACTGATTAATGTTTTTCTCTCATTGATGTTTCTAACTCTCTATCCCTCTCCCATCCTGTCTGCAAAAATCAATAAAATATAATTTAAAAAAACACAAAACAAAACAAACAAACAAAAAACACACAAAGAAGTTCCTGGTACATACTGCTTGATAAACATTAGTTATTGCTGAAATCGTGATGACAATTACATTTTTATTCTCAATGTAAGGAGGACTCCAAGCAGGAGAGGGACATGGACTGACTCAGGTTCAAACCTCGGTCCCGCTGCTGTACTGAGAAGAGGTTGCACTGGGCCTGTGGACCAGCCGCGACCCAGGCAAGTGCCATTGAGTGCCAGAGTCAGGACAGCATCGGCAGTTCCCAGCACCATTATAGAATTCGAGGCTGCCCCTGGGGGGAGATGAGCGGGAGAGCTAGGGGCACAGTCAGATCTCACAGGCCTTGAGGGCCATTCTGAGGAGGCTGACCTTTTGGGCAAGGCAACCGGGAGCTTTTGAGGGGAAGAAGAAGGATAACATCAGATTTGCATTTCCCAAGTCTCCCACTTGTGTGATGCAGATGACAAAGAGGATGGAGAGACAGAGACCAGAGACCCAGCAGTGGGGATCCAGGGGTGGAGGGTGGGGGAGTGGTGGGGGAAGACGGTGCTGGTGGTGACAATGAGGCCTCAGGAATAATGCCTGAGCCTAGTTCTTGCTCCTTTCAGTGGTGGATTGGGACTGCTAATGGGACTCAGGTCCCGGGGTTTCGATGGGCTGTGTCTGCTAGAACCTGGGGAAATGCCATCACAGATGGATTGGTTTTAAGCCAGCGCTGGGAGAAAGCTATAAGGCAAAACCGGCAGGATTTAATCAAAGCTCCTGGAAATAATCTCAGATTCCAGCCTCCAGGCCAGGGGTGAGAACAAGGTGACACGGGGGCCAAAAATAATGCAGACCTGCTCTGTTGACCCTCTCACTACTTAAACATGTGAATTAGTTGCCATGGAGATTTCATATTAAAATCTGAGTTTTCTATACAAAAACTGGCTGCCCATGCGTGGGCACCATCCGCACTGGCAGTAACGAACTGCAGGCGGGAAAGGGCAGTGCCTGGTCTGGAGCATCAGGGTCCTGGCTGGCCCTCTAGGAGTTTCCCCCACCGCCCACCCGCTGGCCTTTGGGATGGTGACCTCCACCAAGAAGCG